TATATATATAATTTAGTACAGGGTCTCACTACACAGATTGGATTCTAGGGATCCTCCTGTTTTCAGCCTCTCAACCACTGGGATTACAGATGCATGCCACCATGCCGTCTCAGCATGCCTCAGGGGCGGGGCCAGCATGGCATGCCGGAGATCAAACCCTTGGAATAGTCTTATTATAGCCAACTTACTATAATGTCACCTTCAATTACTAGCTTTCAATTACTTTCAACTTTAAAAAATTAAATTTTGGATAAAAGGTGGCATAAAATATTTCCTAACTTGGCAAATGCATAATCTCTTCATCCACAACTAAAGGAAATGTTCCTATTTAGATGTCAAAATACTTGAGACCTTCATTTATAGGTTTACCTACCTGTACATGGAAATTCTGGAAGGTAAGAGGTACCATATGCATTTAAGCTGAATGCAAACCACCACCCTTTACTGAAGATCATTCTTAGATATCAATTTCATTTTATAAAAACTTTAACCCTAGCAGCTACTAATAGGACAATTTTCACAACATTAACCACAAAATCCCTTGACCCAAGGAAAACCTTTTTATAATGCACCCCCAAGTGGGGGATCAAACAGCTGAAATGTTTATTTAGCACTAGAGAAATAAATTCAAAGTTGCCCATAAGTAGCCATTTACAATAAAGGATTTAGTTGACAGTCTAGTTGATAAAATATACTTACATATTTTTTTCTTAGGTAAAATCAGCAGCAACCAGTAATAATTCAGAGTATGGGACAATTGCTAATTTTTTTTGTTCTGTAACAATAAAGCTGACAATAAATGACCCAGAGTCCAATCAGCTTTATCTGACATATAGAAGGAACAATGCTAGGACAAGTTTTCAAAAGCAGTACTACTGACAAAAGGCAATAAAAAGGGTCTTGACAAGAACATAAAGTGTTCTACGGAGAACTCCTTTGTGAATCTCTTTTCTCCACGTCCGCCATCTTTCTCTTCCCCAGTGTTTCTCCATCCAGCCACATCTACTCGCTGCTCCTTCAGTGAACACACCAGGTGCCTTCACATCCCAAGTTTTCTGAATGCCCTTTCCCCACCAAAGTTCTCATTACACATATACACTTAGAAATTCTTAAAGGGGAGAGGGGAATGGAAGGAAAAACAAAGCTATGTTCCCTCCAATGAATAAATGAAATCACAAGTTTTCCTCCGCTGAAATTAACATGTTTTTGTGCAAGAAACACCTTGTGATGGAAATGTTCAATAAACTGAGAAATTATTAGAGAACTAAAAACCAGAAATTTCTAGTTCCCTCTTACAGTGCCATTTCTACAAAAGACTTCTTTACCAGTACTAAGTTCCAGCACATGAGTTATGGTAGGATCTAACTTTAATCAATTCTAATTTTTATACTTAAAAAATTATTTTATTATGAACACAGAAAGTTTACTTCAGATCTTAAGTTCATGAACTTCTAGAACCAGGAGCAAGATAAATTCTTCTGTTTTAGACAAAACAGATCACATCAGTTAAGTGGACTTCTAATTCATTCTTCGAGATACCTGCACTTGCCAGCAAAAATTCCCACTGTATGCTATTCGTACTAATGTGGAGAGATGTTGTGTGCTTTATAGTTTTATCCATTCAAGTTAATTTATAAAATTAAAAATAGAAGGTACATAATTTAAGACATTCTATTGAAATGACATTACTAGTAATTTACAATTTTTAAAAAAATCAGCCACAAAAAAGTCAAAGCTAAAAACAAGATTTTTACTATGAATCAGTGCTCTATTACCCTTCTGAAAGAAATTATACTTTAATGTGATGTAAAGGCAACATTGAAAGTTCTTTAAATTAACCACCTAATTTATCCCTAAAGTTACAAAGAATCAAAGTCTTTTACAGGTCAAGTGCAGTAAACTAAAATGTTCTCTCAGCACAAAGCAGCACTAGGAAAAGTAACAGTATGGATTGGAGTTGACAAGTTTTGCAGTGGCTGCTCCATCAATAACAATAAACATCAGATAGTATCCATCCCAGAGCACAGACACAACTACAGACTAGAGGCGAAGAATGCATCACACTCTTGGCTGATAAATGTCCTTTGTCTTTGAATCGACTTTCAATGAAGTGGATTGTTTTTTTAGAAGTTTAAATCAGGTCACATAAGTTGGCTGCTTAAATATCATGATGAGGTATGAAAGCTCTGAATATCCTTTACATTCAGCAGGATTTACCAGAGATGAATAATAGCTTGTCAGGGGCAACTCCAGATAGTTTTTACACTTTGGAATTATAATGAATTCTAGAAGAGTATAAGTTCTAAGGAGGCTTAAAGGGTATTCTCTGAAACAGAAGTGAGCAACTTTTCCTTCAGAATTCATTTGGAACAGAACATCACCAAAAAATCTTCTCTGACAGCATCCCAACATTGAATCATGATGGCCAACTAGCACCGAGAAGTCGTATTTGAACTCATTTGCAGTTCTCTTGGCAATTAAACTTATTTTTTCATTCCAGTCCAAGTACAAATGTGGATCAGTGAACAGAGTACTGGAAGCGCCATTTGCAGGTACAGATTGCAGTCATCATTAAATGAGCCAGAAGGTGGACACTGATTTTACCAGAGGTGGGGTAGGGTACTAGCACATAAAATAAAATGATGGGGAAACAATGAGGTTATTAGAAAAAGATTACTGCTCTTATTTGGGGTGGGCAAGTCATTTTAAGATTTTTTTTTTTTTTAAAGATAAGGATGTTACATCATAGGGATCAAATATGTAGCACAACTGTATTAGAATAAAGTTGCACCTAAGTGGGAGAAAACCAGTAAGTAACTCTACAAGTGCTAATTGCCAGTCGGGGTGGGGGTTGGAAAGCACCTAGGTAAACTCCAATTTACTGAGGACCTCAATCAGGACCACAAAGCCTGAAACATTTTTGTATTACAGAAACAGCCTCTAGTCACACTGGTTGAGTTTGGAAAACTGAAGAGTATACTGTTTTCTTACTTTTAGAAACTGAATTACAAGATATGTGTTCAGACTTTAAGACTCTAAGTCTTTATACCACCATTGGAACTGAACCACTTCCAAACCCTAAGACATGTAAAACCAAAGAGAAGCAAAAGCCAGACACATTAATATGTGCTCCTCTCCTTTCTGCTTTAAGGGATTGCAAACCAGTATTACATTAAGAGTCAAAGTGTTAATTCTTCAGCATTCCAGACAACTAGAAAGCACATTCACTGAAGGCTGAAGGTGAGGGAGTGGATGGTTTAACCTTAATATGTGAAGAATGGTGTCAATAAGAAAAAAACCATCCAATCTCAGTAAGAATTAATGTAAATTTGGCTAAAAAAGCCACCAGGTAATCCAAGGATTCACTGTGGAAGAACTCATGAAAGTACTCTGAAGCATACACAACAGGTCTACACATCTCCCTTGTCGCAAGTAGTTATGTGAAATTCAAGATGAAGGTTTAGTTTTATCTTTTAATGTCAGTATTTTTTTCCCACTTTAAAGGGAGTGAGGAGGAGTCCTCTTTCTTCCCCCACAGAAAAGGGAGCCACATTAGTATGTGTACATTCCCATGACTCTAACATAAGTGCGGATCTCCAAAGCCTAGGGATTTTTCCATAAGAGTGGGCCATTCTGGTTACCCTTTTATTACAATGGTATTTCACCACAAAGAGCCAGAGGTTTTCCAGATGTGTATAAGAGAGCAGGTGCGCAAGGCAAGCAAATGAGCGCAAACAGTATTATGGAAAACATTTGAGAAGTTAGCTCCATGAGGACTGTGGGCTCCACAAGAGAACTCGACTGGGTAGCCTGGTCTGACACAGGAACATGAAAGCAGAGTATTGCTTCAAAGCTGGAAACCTTCCATAGGAGCCTCACACTGCTGGAAGATGTACTGCTGCTGGCTAAGGTCAACCTGGGGAGCAATGCTGCTATCTTCATCTTCGGTCCCAAAATAATGCTCAATAAGATCAAAGGCCTTCTGGTAGATCTCTTGGTTTTCATGACTCTGTAGGAACTCAATTTTATCCAGACCTAGAAAGACAAATAAAGGAAAATCTTTATTGGAGACACTTATAAACTATATTTTTATCCTATATATCCTTCCTTGATGTAAACAAAGCTTCTCTACTTAGAATAGTATGAAAATTTTTATTACTAGGATTGTATCTGAAAATAGTACAGGGGCACCTTAGCTCATGAACTTAGCATTTTCTCTGATTCTGGAAAAGATGGTCATTCATATTCACACAGGAAAAATGACCTCAAATGTGTTCACTGCCCAATGCTGAGTCTGCAAACAAAGACAAAATTTTGCTAAATGCTCCTGTTTGCAGGCTGGTCACAAACAAAAGGGTTTGTGAACCAACCTACTACTGTATTATAAGCAGAAAGTTTACATACACATGAAAGACTGTCCACAGAAGTAGCAATCTACACAATAGTCACCACATCATTCACTATTTAGAGTGCTTTACTGGACTGTATCTATGGCCTAATTATTCTTGATCATCAGATTCTTCAAAGCATCTTACCATAAGCTTCTTCAATCAAAGCACAGTAAGGGTTAATGCCAGTGCCATTTCTTTTGGCTTCTTGTTCTCCAAGCCTCAGGATATTTTCCAAGCCATTTAAGGCAACCTGTACAATCTTAGAGTCCATGACAGTGAGAAGATCACAGAGTGGCTTGATACAACCCAGTTCTACTAGGTACCTAAAGTAATACAAAAACCAACTTAGTCAAATGAACTTTTTAATTATGTAAAGCTTTTATGAAATTAGTAAAGAGTCATTCTTAATTCACTGTATAGAGGAAAATAGGTACCCAGTAAATTTTACAAACTATACCTTATTACCAAAAAGCTACAAAAAATTAAAACTAATTCTCTAATAACATCTCCATTCTTTTTCCCCCTCATAATTTTGACTGCAAAACTCATTATCAACAATCTCTGTATTTTGGCTAGATTAATGTCATTTTTATTTCAACAGGAAGCCACGTTTTAAAAGATCTCCTAACAGGGCTGGCCAGATAGTTCAGCGGACTAAAACGCCTGTTTAGGCAGAGTGTAGCTGCCAGAGTCCAATCCCCTGCATGCCATGCCAGCCCCGCCCTGGGGTCCCAGAGATGGCCATTGAAACTATACGTGGTGGCATGCACCTGTAATCCCACCACGTAGGAAGTTGAAACCTGGAGAATCACTAGGAGACAGATCTACGTAGACCCTGTAGACCCTGCACCAAATGTATAACAAAAAAAGATCTCCTAAAAGCCAGCACAAGCTCAAGAGCCAAATCTTTCCAATGTGATTAGAACTGTACTAAAATAAGTTATGAGAAACTTGTGGAAAGAATAATACAAATGTAAGTATAACCACAGCCAGTATTTTTCTTTTAATTCAGACAGAATTTAACATGTAATCAAGATTATAATCAAACCAAGACACAATGTCATACTCAGCAGATATTCATGTCATTTTGTATTGTTTTAATTTCTCAAATTGTGTATAGAAAGGCAGAGATAATCCAGGTACATTCTATGGATAGGAATGTTTTGGAGCTTATTAAACTAGTGTTAATCCACTTCTCTTTCCACACTGCTTTTTATTTAACACATTCACAACTAGGCCGTACATTTATGATTGTCCCATAGGGCAGCATGTACCAGCCAAGAACTTCCTGAGCTGTCCAATGGGACAGAGATACATGTAACATCAGCGGTGTAACATGTTTAAAAAATGGGGGGACATGTTTAAAAAATAAAAAAATAAAAATGAATTTCTAGCCAGGTTTAAAAAAAAATAAGAGGCAGTCAGGCCTCGCGCGGTGCCCGGGCCGAGGGCCTGGCTCTGGCGCTGGGAGAGTTGCCAGCGCGTAAGGCCCAAAGCACGCTCCATGCGGGCTTGGGAGTGCAGTAGACGTGCTTCGTGTATCTCCTGAAGATTCCAGAATCGTCCACCCGGAGCGCTGCAGACGCCATGCCGAGACCCCAAAAAAGGCTGGTGGGGGCCGCTGGCCCAGACAAGAAGGGGCTATCAGTAAAACGCACTAAAACTAAGAACTCAGATGAGACATCAGGTCACAAGGAGAACTCCAGTCCACAGGTGACTCCAGACCTAAAAAACTGTGGACAGAATCTAAAGAACTACTGGCTGATGAAGTCAGAGCCTGAGAGCCGACTAGAAAAAGGTGTTGATGTGAAGTTCAGCATTGAGGACCTCAAAGCACAGCCCGAGCAGATAGCCTGCTGGGATGGTGTCCGAAACTACCAGGCTCGGAACTTCCTTAAAGCCATGAAGCTGGAGGATGAAGCCTTCTTCTACCATAGCAACTGCAAAGAGCCAGGCATCGCAGGACTTACGAAGATTATAAAGGAGGCTTACCCAGACCACACACAGTTTCAGAAAAACAATCCCTATTATGATCCATCCAGCAAAGAGGACAGCCCCAAGTGGTTCATGGTGGATGTACAGTTTGTTCGGATAATGAAGCGTTTCATCTCCCTGGCTGAGCTTAAAACCTACCACCAAGCTCACAAAGCTTCTGGTGGTCCCTTGAAACACATGGCTCTCTTCACTCGTCAGAGACTGTCAGTTCAGTCCCTTACACAAGAAGAGTTTGATTTTATTTTGAGCCTGGAAGATAAGGAACCAAGTTAACAGAGGCACTCTTGCTGAAGACAAGCCAGTACTCCAAAGAGACAGCCTTTTAGAGGACAGAAGAAAGCTTGCATGCAACATCGCTGGGGACTGTTTACCTAGGTGGTTTTGAGTACTTTTTTCAATAAAAGATTTAATATTAGAAAAAAAAAATAAAATAAGAGAGAGAAGACACACAATTACTAATATAAGGAAAGTGATCACCACTGATCCCATGAACACTAAAAGGAGAATATTACAAACAACTCCATGTTCATAAATTTCATAACTCTGATGATGAAACGAACTAACTTCTTCAAAGACATAATCTGTCAGAACTCACAAGAGAAATGGATAATCTGAACAAACTGTATGTATTAAAGAAGCAACATTAGTAATTAATATTCTAAGACAGAAAGCACTACTATTAGATGGTTTTACTGGCAAATCAGCCAAACATTTAAGGACAAAATGATACCAGTATTCTAGAATCTCAACTACAAATCAGAGGCAAAACTGAACATTGAGTTCATCTCATGATGCCAGCATTTCCCTCATACCAAAACTCCGTATTAAAACAAAGGAAATTACAGATCACAATATCTCAAGTACATGCAAAAATCTTCAACAAAAATGTTACCACATCATATCCTATAATTCTGTAAAAAGAATTACACATTAAGTGGGATTTATTCTATCACAAACTGACCCATCATTAAAAAAAAAAAAAAGTAACTATCACATCAACATATCACTTCAACAAGAAACATCTAACAAAATCTAATACCTATTATTATGGTTTGTGTCTAGTTGTCCCCCCAAAACCTCATGCAGTAATGGGGTGAGGACTTCTAGAGTTTGTGATTAACTCATGAGCCACTGGGATTATGTGTAATCCAAGGCTGGGATTATGGGTTTTAGTACTGCTGGGATTATAGATGTGAGTACTTCCCCCAGCCTGGGGCAGAGAGCCTGAATGTAATATAAGAGACAGAGAGAGAGACAGACTTTCTGTAGCCATTGCACTTTGTTATTGTTGTTGCTGTTCGGCCACCATGAACTGCTGCTCTCTGCTATGTGCCCCTCTTCCTTGAAGCCAGCTGAATATGGACTGAAACCTCCAGTAACTGTGAGCTAAATAAACCTTTCCTTCCTTCATTTTGGGTGTCGGGTATTTGTCCCAGCAATGAATGAAGAGTAACTGACACCTATTCATGACTAAATAGAAGGGCTGGGGACATAGCTTAGTGGCATAAGTGCCTACCTGGCAAGTACAAAATCCTGAGTTTGATCCCTGGTACCAAAAAAGAAAGAAAAGCAGGGCATGATGGTGCACACACCTGTAATCCCAGCACCCTGGGAGGCTGAAAAGATCACAAACTGTAGCTCAATCTAGGCAAATACAGCAAGTCTGTCTCCAAATGAAAATGTTTTGAAAGGGATGGGGACATAGCCCAGTATAAATACCATGTGTTCAAACATCATCTCCACAAACAAAAAAATCTCAGAAAACTAAGATAAGAGGGAGCTCTGTTGACCTGAATTTAAAAAAAAAAACACTTTAACAACAGCATACAGCCCATATATTTAATAAAGAGAACACTGGGAACAAGGGATACACTTGCTTATCCTCAGCACTACACCTGAAGTCCTACAACAAAGGAAAAATAAAACCGTGTGTGTATGTGTGTTTCACTAGTGAATGATCCTAGGACCTTCACTGAGCTGCATCCTTAGCCCTTTTTTAAAATTTTGAAATAGGAGCTAAGTCACTAAACTGCCCAGGCTAGACATGAGCTTGCAATCCTTCTGCCACCTCAATTTATCAGCATGCTAGGATTATCCGCATATACCACCAGGCCTAGCTAAAACTTTACTTTCAGATTATATCAATTATCTATATAAAAAAAAAAAAAAACAGTTACAGCTTACCCCAAATCTTTTCGACTAATAAGCAACTATAGCAAGGGTTTCTTTTTTACTTCATATATATATATATATATATATATATATATATATATATATATATGTATTTGGCTGTTATAGGGTCTCATTATGCAGCTCAGACTCTTGGTGCTCCTCTCCTTTCAGGCTCCCCAGTGCTAGGATTACAGGTGGGGGCCACCCCTCCCACTCCCCAACGCCTGGCCAGTTCAGGCCACCCTGCAAGTAGGGGGCTGGCACAGCAAGTGGTATAGTTCTGGAGTTTGCCTAAGCTTGCCTAAGCAAGTGTTTAGTCCACTGAGCTATCTCACAGGCCCCTATAGGAGGGTTTTCTGATGATACAAGGTTAAAATGAAAAATTTAATTGCTTTGCTATATGTAATAAACTGTAATTTGGATTTACAAGCAAAGTATTTACTGTTGGCATTACAAAAGTATGAATCTAACAAAATAGGTACAAGGAAATAGGTGTACAAGGAAAATCTGCCATAGAAAGAAGAGACGCAAAACATGTATCTAATAAAAGACTGTGGCCAACACATACAAACCAGCAAAGGACTGCAGTTCAATTCCCAGCTCTTCAAGCTGTACCAGACCCTTGAGGCAGCCTGAACTAGAAAAAAACAAGCAAACAAAAAACCCTCCAATTATAGGGCCAGCCAAATAGCTCACCAGGTTAAAGCACCTGCTTAGGCAGACACGAGGCCATGAGTTCGACCCCGGGGCCTGCGGTGCCGGCATCACCCCCAGGGGTGCACTAAGACAGCAACTGAGACTGGACATGGTGGCGCATGCCTGTAATCCCAGCACTTGGGAGGCTGTAAACAGGAGGATCACTACGAGTCTGATCTACGCAGTGAGACCCTGTACACCCTGTCTTAAAAAGACAAAGAAAAAAATACAAACCACTCTAAAAATTCAACCATAACAAAATAGAAAGTCACTCAAAAGACAGTCGAAGATCTGAATCCCTCACAAAGGATACACACATGGCAAATACAGTTATCAGACAATGTTCTACACCATTACCTAATGCTATCAGGGAGCTAACAAGATAGTAAGATGTCACTGAACACTACTAGGAATGATGGGACGCTCACACACAGAAGATGCCAACTGTTGGCAAGTGTGTTGGCAGCAGGAGGCTTGCTCAGTGCACTGGAGATGCCCAAGGAGACAACACTTTGGAAAGGGGACTGGCAACTTCTTAATACATATCTTTACCAGTTTGTTTTCTGTAATTTAGACTATGATTTTTGTAATCATCGCTCAAGTTCCTTTTCACTTGAGTAAAAAACTTCTAGAAGATGGGTAATTCATTAGGAATATGAATTTTATAAAAGGAATGTAACAGTTCTCTAACAGGGCAAAACGTACCTGCTTATTTATTTATTTATTGGTACTGGGATTGATCCCTGGACCTTGTGCTTGTGCAGGTGCTGTGCCACTGCTGAGTATTTTAAATTTTAAAAACTTAAAAAAGGAATGTAGCAATTAGCTTCTGTAACACCAATTAACTTCTGTAACAGAGCAAATTATAACTATTTTTTTTCATTTTCCCCCTCCCCATAACTGAGTATTTTCTGATGAAAGACAGTGAATGGTATTTTAGAAATGTTTTAAAAACAGTATGTTTTTAATGAGCTGGGCACATTGGCAGCAATCAGGAAACAAAGGCAAGAGGATTGCTGTGACTTTGAGGCCTCCCTGAACTACACAGTGAGACCCTGTCTCAAAAAAACAAGTATATATGTTTAGCTATTTCAATTTAGCAAACATATTTTAGTTGAGCACAGAGGTGCATGCTTATCATCCTAGTTAGCTGGGAGGATGAGGTCAAAGGATTTCAAGCATGAAGTCAGCCTGGGTAGCTTAGCTCAAGGGCCTGAGTTCAATCCCCAGTTCCGCCAAAAAACAAAATAAACCAAAAAAAAAAAAAAAAAAAAAAAAAAAAAAAGAAAGAAAGAAAGAAAGAAAGAAAGAAAGAAAGAAAGAAAGAAAACCTATCCTGCCTAGCATGCATAAATCCTGGGGTTCATTCCAGTGAAAGAAAGTACTGCGTGTGTGTGTGTGTGCACCTGCACACAAGCACAAAGGCAGAGAGAGATAGACAATGGCACTAAAAAGTCAATTAATAATTACAAATCTGAACTTGAATATGAAGCTTTAAAAAGAAAAGATCCTGTATTACTCCATGTTATTTTTTTTTGTTTATTTATTTTATTTTTTTATTTATTTATTTATTTATTTGGTCCAGGATCTTGCTATGCAGCTCAGACTCATAGTGATCCTTCTGTCTTAGCCTCCCCATCTCCAGGATTAAGGGCGCGTACCACCACACCTAGTTTCAGTGGCCAGCATGGTGCTTTTGGGGATCTAGTGCTGGCATGGCATGTTACTCCATGTTATTACCATCTTCAATAGCCAACTTAAAATCATCTTCATGAGTTTGAAAAGACATGTAAGATACTATGTTTCTAAAGACACTTGAATGTCTACCTTGAGTAATCTGCCCATAATAAATTTTACCAAAATGGATATTGCAATATGTTAATCTGCTTGTAAATGTATCTTCTTTGTCTGGTCAATTGTTAGTATTATTTTTATTTTCTAACTCCAAACAGAATACTGTTAAAATAAGCATTTGCTGACTGCCTTAATCTGACCCACAAAACAACATTATAAGAAGTAAGGGCTGGATGCGATAGCTCAGTAGACTTAGAGCCTGCTTTGGCAAGCACAGGGACCAGTGTTTGGTTCCTGGTCCCATATGCCATGCTGGCCCCACCTCCAGGACGCACTGAGCCAGCAACTGAGTCTGGGGTGGCAGCGGATGCCTATAATCCCAGTGCTGGGGAGGCTGAAAACAGAAGAATCACCAGGAGTCTGAGCTGCATAGTGAGACCCTGTACCAAATACACAAAACAAAAAAAAAAAAAAAAAAAGAAAGAAAAAGTACCTATGTATGTTACATATGAGGGAGTGGTGAATGGTTTCACTCCTTGGAAACCATTTTCTCGTCTGGTTTCCTAATTAATAACACTAAGACTAGCTAAGTGTCTAGGTTCCATTTTTTTCTTCACCATTACTTTTTCTACTGGCAGTACTGATGTCAAGCAGGTATAGTGGTCACATCTGTAATCCCAGCAGTCGAGAAGCTGAAGTAGGAGGACTGCCAAGTTGAAGGCTGGCCTGGGCCTCACATGAGCTCAACACCAGCCTAAACTATATAGCAAGACCTTGTCTCAAACAAACTAACAAGCAAACAAACAAGATGTCAAAAAATTTATTTTTAATTATATGATGCTCATTTGAAGAAGTTTGTTCCATTCAATATTTAAGGCATTCTCTATCCATTAATATTTACACTGCTATCAATGAAACCATTTACATTAAAAAATGACTCTAAATTTCTTCCCTTATTGAAGACCACAGTACTTAAAAAGACATGTGCATCTACTGAATTTAGCACTTGATTCCAAAGTGCTTCTCTTCCAAGAATGGTCCAATTCTTCTATTGAGACATCCAAACTAGAAATAGGTAGGGCTGTCTATCAAAGCTAAGATCTTTGCAACCTTCTATATTATCCAAGCGTTTTTGACTAAACAGCTGCAAAGTAGGGTGAAGCCATCCTAGAAATATTTCTATTACATGAAATCTCAATAGATACTTTCAGCAAAGGAAATGACAGGTGTAAAAAAAATTAAGTGTACATAAGTCTAATTATGGCACTGAGAAAAATCTTCCAAAGGGCCAGAATTAAGCATTCTTATTAAATAAGATCACCTCTTCCCTTGCTTCTCAAATATAGTTAATTTTTATTCTAGGTAGTATTGAGGAATAGGTGTTTTAAATATAGTAATAAATGTCCCCTTAATTTTACAAGATGCTACTTGATAAATAACTTACTTGATCTGCTCAGCTGATCCTCCAGAAGTTGCATTTGTGATGGCCCAAGCAGCTTCTTTTCTAGTTCGAAACTCAGCAGTTTGTAATATACTAATGAGAGCTGGGAAAATGTTAGCATCTATCACAGTCTGAAATTAAAGAAAAACGGAAATGGAAAAAATTATTCTTAATACTCTGTGATGGTTGTTCTTGATGCTATTGGGCTGGTTGGCTTAGCAACCACCCAGGGCACTGGTGGAACACACTTCAGAACCTATTAGGGAGGACCATGGGGTGTGGCCCTGGTATCCATACCTGGCCCTCCTCTCTAAGGGTTTCTTCTATCTTTTTCCATGCCCTGTATTCCAGCCACTGTGAACTAAGCAGCTTTGCTCAGTCACACCCTTTAGTTGTGTCATTTCTGCTTTGGAGCCAGAAACACCTGAATCCCCTACAGTAGGAGCCAAATTAAACCACTCTTCCTCTAGGTTGTGGGTGTCCAGTATTGTGTCCAGAAATGGAAGGGCTGACCAATACATAACCAATTATAACTTTTAAACAAGTTTCACTAATGACACCCATTCCCTCATTAAAAATAAAATTGGAAGTAGTGAAAGTCCTCATTATCCTTAACTTTAGCCTATACGTGGTACCATGAATAACACCCTCACAGAAGTCTGTGGTCTTAAAATCTAATTTTTTCACTGAGGTTTTCCCTCTTCTATTGTCTACATTTTTCTGTTCCCAGGAATAGTCAATCAAGTTCAATTCTCTGCTCTACTATTCTCATTTCTCTCACTACATCGACTCTCCCATGCAGACTATAACCAGAAGCTCCAGCTTGAAGTAGCAGCAGCAGCAGCAGCAGCAGCAGCAGCAGCAGCAGCTTACTTTAGGTCTGCTACTCCTCTCAGACACATAATCTCTCCTCCACAGCAGTTTTCCCTTTAAATTTCTGCAAAACTCAGTTTTTATGGATTCATTCTAAATTCACATAGCTTGTCTCCTTATCATTCGCAATTGAACACATCAACAGTCCATCTCTTCCGGTCCTTTAGAATCACTACTATCATTTTCCAAGTCATCACCAGCCAGTGAAATTATCAGAGTGTCCTTATGCCCCAGTGTGCTGTGCCAGCCCCATCCCTGGGGCTTGCTGAGACATGACTGAGACTGGGCGTGGTGGCGCACGCCTGTAATCCCAGCACTTAGGAGGCTGAAAACTGGAGAATCAAGTCCGATCTGCATAGTGAGACCCTGTAGAGCCTGTACCCTGTACTAAAAACATAAAGTAAAAAAAGAATGTCCATATGAGTTGGATTGAGTACTTCTACTTCGTCCCAATTACATATTACCATTAAACTCATCTTCCTAAATTAACTTCTTCATGTTTTACATTGGCTCAGGAATGTAATATAGGGTTGGCAAAATTTCCTGTAACAAGCAACTGAGAAGTTCTGCCAAGGTCCTAGAGGTGACAAGCAATCAACCAGAGCTAAAATCTCATACTACAAATTGGCATGATTATGACTCTGAATTCCTAATTCAGCTCTCTGCAATTGGTTAACCAAGCCCTCCCAGCCAAGATCTCCTTATGCTATACCAGTGAACGATATCTGTGAAATTTATTGAAAGGACACCTATTATTGGTCCTGTTATTCCCTGGAGATATCCTGGAGGAAACTTTTATTTTTGAGCCTCAGTTTCATTTTTTTTAAAATTTTATTTCTATTAGTAAATAATAATTACATATTTACAGACTAAACTGTGGTACTTCACCACACACATTAATGATGATTAATGAGATTTTAAAATCAGATGACTTCTATGATTTCAGTTAGTTCCAAGTCTCCTAAAGTCTAAATCCTGTGTTTCTCAACCTTCTATTCAATCTCAATCATGGCTCATGCTGAACACCCTGGCCCACTGCTTGTCTTCTACATAGGTTGCTTTCCCCCTAACAGACAGGCAAAAACCATTTAAAGAAAAACAGATGTCCAGACTTCATTAACAACTGAAACAATCCAAGGCATGGGTCCACCGGAAAGTATTTTACTTGGCAAGGGTAAAGCAAATCTGTTTAGCATAAAGTCCACCAAAACATTTAAAAATACAAGATATGTATTTGTGGATCTTCAGTACTTCATCAAATATTGAAGGGAAAAACACCTAAGTAAAAATTTGAGACTATTTAAAATTTATAAGCTAGAAAAAAAATAAGTAGACTATGAACACAGAAAGTTAGTGGTTTTCAAAGCAATAACAAAAACTTTAAAGGCTGACTGAAAAAAAAAATCTTACCAATCCATAAAAGCACAAAAAGAAAGGACTACTATGACATTACCTGAATCTGTGCCCTATTTCCAGCTGTGATATTGGATATTGTCCAACATGCTTCCTTTTTGATCGATTCTTTTGGGCTACTCAGCAAATGCAATAAACTCTGAAGAGCTGAACAATTCAAAATTACCTAAAAGGAAAAGTTTTAAAGTTTTGCTTACTATGTTATTCCAAATATAAATAAATCTTTTCTCAAGTAACTTATTTAAGGAAAACTAGATAACCCTTGAAATTACATAAAAAGTTCCTTTACATTAAAAAGTATTTACTGCTGTTAAAAATTTTTAAGATTAGCAAACCAATTTCATTACATATATTCCTGACCACTATTATTTAAAATACAATGTTAGTAGTTACAGTAAGATTGTTCATACATCTTCCTGTCCCTACAGCTGAGACTTCCATATGGGCAAATATATCAAGTAATTAGAAAATCTCATAGTTGTAAAACCTTTCATTTAAAAGGATTAAACACACAATATAATCGTCAGTCTCAGTTTAAAGCCTTTGGTAACTATACTTCCAATCAAAAACCACTGTATGATTATGATGACATTATGTGTTTTATACAAAAAAGAAAAATAACCCTATCAAAGAGCATACAAAAATAAGATGAATACATGGAAAAGAGGCCTACTGTCCCAGAAATTAAATCATAAAGCTAGAATCTTGGAACTATTATATGGCAAAAACCAATCACTAAGCAAGAGAATGCATATCTAATTCAGAAACACAGGCAGGCATTTATAAAAATTATGCGCAAGACAAAAGTTAATCCTTTCTAACAGGATAAATCATGAGGGGACTTGACTGACCTTATCAGATACAAAAGTTACATTTCATGTTACATAGGTCTTGCTTTATCTTGGTCTTAACCATCCAGCAGAAAAGTATAAAAACAAGGCATATAAAGTAAAACCATATTAATATGCTGAGCTGTAGAAGGCTCTAGTCAACAACTTCTGCGGACAATCCCCTACTACTGTGGACTACTGGACTGTGTTGGATTGTTTTGCTGAATTCAAGCACCTATAATATTTAGATGCCAATAGAACAGCCATCTCTGACAGGGCTGAACTGGAGCGGGGGATACAGAGGAAGGACCATTTTGTATTTGTATATACAGAATAGTAAGGATAGATGTACGGCTGGTTTGGCTTGGTTCAGTGAGAGGAAGGATTTGTAATAGTAGTGTTTGGATGGGATGTCCTGGCTGCTTCTTGTGCTGTGGATGACTGCTGAGAAGATAACAATGTGCAATGTATTAATTATTGAAAATATCCTATTAATCAGCTTGGAAAGTGTCTCATTGATATCTGTTTCTCAATTTAAAAAAAGTTAATCCTTTCTTTACCTCAATGCCACGAGTGTTACTTAAAAGAACAAGAAGATAGTTAAAAAACAATTCTTAAAAATTAATTGCCAACCTCTACAACCAACTGGTATGTAAAGTCAAAATACCCACATATAACAAAAGATTACCAGTACATAATTAAGCAGAGTTCTATGCTTGAAAGACCTTCTAAGCATAGAAACAAATTATAGGAGGAAAATAAAATTTCATCAAATAAAAATTATCCCTTGTAAAAACATCACTTAAAATTGTTATATAACATTGTGGAAAAGATATTTGTAAAAAAATAATGGTTGATGCCTTTATTACATAAATGAAAAGAAAAACTTCTGATAGAAAATTATCTCATAAGTAATGAAAGAAATGAAAATTAAAATGAAGCCATCTGTTGCCTATAAAAATGCAGCTCCCAAAATAATAAAACTTACAATTAAACAGATCACTGTAAAAACAATTTGATCATAAATATCAAGTCGCATCAAAAAATCCACAATTAACAACATTCTAGGTCCACAATATTTACCCAGAAAAATTATAAACCTTACAGATGAATGTTAAGCAAATATTAAGAGCAGTATATATACAATTACTATGGAAATTCCTACAGAGTCCTCTAGAAACTACGGGGTTCCATTTGACCCAGAGAGTCCTCTTCTTGGTCTCTTCCTGAAAGAATGAAAAGCACCACAGCGCAGTGATACCTGCACACCATGTCCACAGCACACACTTTGTAGTAGCTACATACTGGAAACAGCCCAAACGCTCATCAACCAATGAACGGTTAAAGCAACTGTGTTTTATAGTACTACTGAGCAATAAAGAAGGACAAACTTCAGACATTTCTAGATAAGTGGATGCACCTAGAGAATGGGGCGGGTCAGGGTAGATCTCATACAGGTAACAATATGAATGTGATCAGCATGTACATCTAAACTGTGCCAATGAACTTCATTACTAATTTTTTAAAAAAACCTAAAATACAACTTGAAATAGGAACAATTGCATATTGATGAGATAAATGACTTAATCCTATTATATTGTATATATTAATTCCTTTGTTATCAAATGTGTCACAGGTTTATTAATTCATACAGTGAAACTTTGGTGCAGAACTTTTGTTCATAAAAAGTGGAAACCACAGATGCATAGTGCCATTCTTATCAGGACCGTGTAGGTGAGGTGGTATCTGGCACCCAAAACCCAGGCTAGTCATGAGAAAAGTGCTGGTCAGACCAAAACTGAGCCTACAAAATAGCCAACAGTAACTTCTGCCAAGGTTACCAAAACCAAGAAAACCCTGAGAAACTATTATACCCTAGAAGGACATAAAGAAACAAAGATGAATAAATGTAATGTCATACTGTAGATAAAATCATAACAAAAAGGTTATTAGATGAAACATTGCAATCCTGCTTTATTAGTTAAGGACAGGTATTAGTGATACAGCAAATTTAGACTGAAATATATGGGAATACTCCAACTGGTCTTATTACCCTTTTATAAATTATATATAGAGAAACAGATAAGATTTTGGCATCATGAGACCTTTATAATCTTCACATTTTTCTCCATTTATTAAATTTTCTTTTTCTTTTTTTGGCAGAACTGGCAATTGAACTCAGGCCCTTGTGCTTGCCAGGCAAGCGTTTATTCTATTGAGCCTATCTCCCCGGCGCCTATTAAATTTTCTATAATGAAAAAATATTACTTTTATACTCTTATAGAGTCAAAATAAACCAGAAAGGGGCTGGCGAGACAGCTCAGCAGACTAAAGTGCCTGCTTAGATAAGAGCAGGGGCTGAGGTTCAATTACTGGCACCACATGCCACACCAACCCCACCCCCAGGGTGGGCTGAGCCAGCCACAAAAAAAAAAAAAAAAAAAAAACAAGCAACAGTGCAAGAGATGTTGCAAAGTTATTTTTTAAATGCCAACACAGCAGCAACTGGGGTTCAATCCCCACAGGTGCCATGCTGGCCCCATCCCTGAGGCATGCTGAGACTGATTGAGACTGGGCGTGGTGGTACACACCTATAATCCTAGGGCTTGGGAGGCTGAAAAACAGGAGTATCACTACGAATCCCATTTGTGTAGTGAGACCCTGTAGAGCCTGTACTAAAATACATTAAAAAAAAAAAAAAAAGCCAACACAGAGGTCTAGAAAACAAACATATCAGAATTTAAAGAGACCACCTGGAGAATAATAAACAAACAAACAACTTAAGCTTCATGGAGTGGACCTTGAAATGCACATAAAATTTCTCAAGAAAAGAAGGGAGAGGACACTGTACATGAAGGCTGGAAACAGGCAACTGCAGACAGAGTACTACAAAGTACCATAAGAACCAAAGGCTATGCAGGAAGGCTTCTATGCCCCTAAAAAAGCAGTGAGCTAGAAAAAATAAGAGCAAAATCTTGAAGTAGAAATTCCTTATAGTCTTCAAGGTTCTTTATCTCATAGACTCATTTTTTTCTAAGAAGAAACTAATTTAAGAAAGATTAAGCTATTATTGGGAAGAATAAACAAGAATAACTGCTTATAAAAGTGGAGAGCTAAATTGGGTGAACAATACAGAAACTTCTGTGCATAAGAAAGCAAAGAGCAAAATTAAATAGTCCTGTGTGTGGGTCTGACAACAGTGAGGATCCACAAGACTTGCTATACAAAAGAGACACCAAACATGACTGTACCATTTTAAATGTACAGGAAAACTTAAAACTTGCAGCTTGCTCTATATGGAGAAGATAACATGATAACATGTGAAACATGCAAGGAGAGATGCTAACCCAGCTTCGGCAAAGATGGAGGAGTCCACTGGAGGAGTCACAACTGGACATACAGACTCAGAATGTTATTCCACTAAACTAGTATCTTTTGAGTCCCTACACATTATGCCATGAATTGAAAGACTCTAGAGGCACAAAAATAAACAAACCTGACCCAGACTGCCTCTAGAATTTTATAACCTTGTACTAGACAGTTACATGCTATGATTCATGTTTTGATAAGAAGAAGGATCACCTAACTTGAAAGTTTGGGTCAAAGCTTCCCACAGAAAATGTTAATACCAAGTTGTAAAGAATGACAAAATCAGGGCCAGGGAGATGGCTCAGTAGAATAAGCGCTTGCCTGTCAAGCACAAGGGCCTGAGTTCAATCCCTGGTTCCACAAAAAAAAATTTATTAAAGGGGCTGGTGAGATGGCTCAGTGGTCTAAAGCACCTACTTAGAACAAGCTAAGCTAAGCAAAGCACAGGGACCGCGGTTCAATCCCCCAGCACCACATACCAGCCAGCCCCGCCCCCTGGTGGGCTGAGCTGGCCACACACACACAAAATAAACAAATAAATAAATATTAAAAAAAAAAAAGAATGACAAAATCGTAGTGGCTGTATGTAAAATGGGGAATGGAAGCAGGTGGTGTTCCATGCAGCGGGAACAAAGTATGTGTTATGGTTCAGAGCTGAGAGTGACTGCACAAAGCTAATCCAGGGAACCCAACATGGCAACAACATGACACAGAAACTTTCTGGGATGTGTGGCTAGGGGATCAAACCCAGCACGTTCGCTATAGTACGCAAGCATTCTCCCACTGAGCTGTATCTCCACCCTAGAATTCATCCCCCATTATTTTTCTGAAATATACTAAAACAGTTTAGAAAGTCAGGAAGCATAAAACACTATATACTTAAGACTCTCCCATTCCTGTACCCTAACCAACCAGTTCTCCTCATAGATAGCCAGCGTTATTATTTTCTATGTATCCTTCCAGAGATAATGGTAAACAAATACAATCAAATATACATGTTCTTCACTTGTCTAAAATGTCTAAACTAAGTACTGCAAGGGATGAGTAAACACAGAATAAAAGGACTTAATAAATGGTAAGAGTTAAGAGGAAAGAATCAAATACATGCCTGCGTTCCTGGCATGGGCAAATGGTAATGCTGTTCACTGAGACAGGGATAGCAGATTCAGATATACAGGGGGACTGAGTTCCCTTGAGGACAGTATAAACTGGAAGTAAACATGTTAAGCGTTAGAAGACACTTGAGAAAACAAATCTAATTTCACTACTTTTAGAGATTAAAAAAGTGAAAACAGTGAGGCATGATGTAATCCCAGCACTCAGGAGACTGAGACAGGAGGATTGCTTTGAGTTCGAGGCCAGCCTGGGCTACAAAGTGAGTTCAAGACTAGCCTGGACTGCATAGCGAGCCCTATCTAAAAGAGAAACACACACAGTGAAAACATTAAATGCCTTCCTAAACTGGAATTGGTTAAGAGCGAGCTAAGATGGAACACTAATACCTAGTAATTCCCAATCCATGCACATAAGGTCATCAGTGAAATTATAAATAAGACCTACCAATGAAGCCAAAGAACTTCCCCTAGAAAGTACTGTAAACAAGAAAGAATAGGAAAAGTACCTTGCTATGATGAAATGGTCAGTTAGGCAAAGAACTAAGATACTACAACATCACTGAAGTTTACAAGGATAGTTTTAAGACACCATCATCAATGCAACTGAAACATCTTGAGAAGAATTAACTAGAATAATCCAGTGTGCATAGGTCTTGATATCAAAAGTTACCACAGAACCCAAAACTGCTACAAGCAACAGATCAACAGTTACCAAATGAATTGGCCAAAAGAAAAAAAAAAAGAATAATTTTTTTTCAATGCTGAGAATTGAATCCAGGGCATTGTTTTTATTGTATTTTATACTTTAAGACACAGTCTTGCAAAGTTGCTCAGGCTGGGCTTGAAAGGATGATCCTCCCAACTCAGCCTCCCAGAGTACATTTTTAACAAACTGTGGTAAAACAAAGTATCCATTCTACTCAATATTACAGAATACTGTAATAGAAATGATCACAATGAAGAAAAACAGTAGTTATCACTTATTCTTACCTGTGTCTGAATATCATCTCCTGTGACAATGTTTCCCACAGCCCGCAAAGCCGGAGAAACTACTTTATAATCATTATGCCTACAACCATAAAAAGAAACATCATAAGTCAACAGTTCTATGTGAAGTATCTTTCCTTTGCTGCTAAATCCCAAAGATATATACAATTAAGACTTCACAGCAGAAAGACAGCTATCCTGACTATGGAAATCTCATCTTGATGCTAAAATGTTTGGTGTCCCCAAAGGAATCACACATCTTACCTAATAATCCTCCCCAGATATTTCATAACCTGGACTCTAAGCCCTACACCCATACTTTAATACAGATCTCATTTCCTCCTTAACTGATCTGCATTGCTAAGATAATGCAGAACATTTGTTAACACTGTTACACAGCTCTTTTTAAAGTTTTAGAACTATTTCATTTTCAGAGGTAAAACTGATGTCAATAGCTAGATGTAAGGGCTGGTGAAATAGCTCAGGGGACTAAGCGCCTGCTTAGGCAAGTGCAGGGACCAGGGTTGCATCCCTGGTACCACATTCCATGATGGCCCCACCCCCTCAGTGTGGCGCACTGAGCCAGCCACAAAAGAGTCCAGGCATGGTGGCATACACCTGTAATCCCAGTGCAGGGAGACGGGCAGGCCTGAAAACAAGAGGGTCACTATGAGTCTAAGCTGTGTAGTGAGACCCTGTACCAAATACATAGGGAAGGGGAGGAGAGGGGAGGAAGAAGGCGAAGGGCAGAAGGAAAGGTAAGGGAAGGGAAAAGAAAGGGAAAGAGTTCACATTTCAAATGCTGAACTCTTTCTAGTGTATTACCAAACTGGTCTAAAAAATCCCTCCATAAAGACTTACTCAAAAAGATATTAAGTCCTGAGTAAGTCAGTCCTTTATCTTCAATGTTCCTTTTTATGCATTCAGTTGTCGCAGGGTCTCACTACACAGCTCGGACTTGTGGAGATCCTCCTGCTTTCAGCCTCCCCAGTGCTGAGATTACAGGTATGCACCACCTGGTCCAGACTCTGGCGCATTCGGCTCCCCGATGGCATGCGGTGCAGGGGATGAACTGAAGTCCCTGCACTTGCCTAAGCAGGCATTTTAGTCCACTAAGCTATCTCGTCAGCCCCTCTTTTAACTTTCTTGAAAGCTCTTGCTTCTCCCTTCCCTTTTTTTTTTTAAATATTTGTTTGCTTAGTACAGGGTCTCGCTACCCAGCTCTGACATGTAGTGATCCCCCTGTCTCAGCCTTCTCAGTGCTGGAATTACAGGCGTGTGCCACCATACCCAGTTTTGGTGGCCGACAGGCATGTGCTGACAGGGGGGCCAGTGTGGTTTGCCAGGCTGGTGATTAGACCGCTGAGCTAGCTCCCCAGCCCTCTCTTCCCTTCAGGAAGATTGATTTCTCTTCTTAAAACTGCACCAGTTTCTTCACATTTACTTCAAGATTTGATGACTAAAAAGAAATGATTACAATATAACCTAGTGGCTAAAGGATACAAAGAACCTGAGCCCTGAAGCATCATATGGCCTTGAATCCACAGCAGCTCTTCTTGACTGATCTGCAAGCAGTGCCAGCTGTGTTCTGTGTATTACACTTATCTAGCCCACTCTGCATGTCTCACCTCAGATGTCTATCTCTATGAATCTAATTAAATCTTATGTTGCTTTTCCTTATTATCACTATTTTTCTTCTATACATATTGTTGAAAATTTTGATTATTAGTCTCAAATTACTTGTCACAAGTAAATCTTTCTCTGCACCATGGCAATTATAAAAAATAAATGTTTAAATGTCTGATATTAGTCTATATTAAGGTCTAAATGATTGATAAAAAAACTTTTAGTGACAACATGAATTTTTGGGGTTCCTTTTTGTTATTAAAGTTTGTTGGGTTTTTCAGTATTTTCAGACAGGATCTTGCTATGTAGCCCAGGCTCGCCTGCTGCATCAGCCTCCTAACTGCAAGAGTGCTCCAATTACAGCTATGTACCACCACCCCCTGCAGCAGAATGACTTCTGATGTCCACTGGTTGATTATAGGTCATCTACTATGGTCTCAAACTATACAGACCAGTTTTCCCCAATGTTTATGCTGAAACAGTGTTTACAGCAGAAGAGTAAGTTTTTCTAAGTCTCAAAAAACTAAATCGAAATATTTAACATCAATATAAAAAAGTAACAAAAGAATAACAACACAAAGCACATAAGTGCCTGCCTGAGTTCAATCCCCAGGACCAAAAAAAAACAAAAAAAAAAAATCTAAAGCACAGTAAATCTGTAAAATGTACAAAGAACTAACGTTTAAATATTAGCAACTGGAAAACTTAATATAAGGGCAAGAAAGCAGACACATATTCTTAAAGATAACTTACATCAGCAGCTCCACGAGTCTCCTACACACTCCTGCATCAATGACTGCTTGAATTTTATCATTGGGTCCATCTGATAGATATGAGAGGGCCCAGCACGCATCAGCCAATACATCAGTGTCATTGACAAAAAGCAACCAGGAAAGCACATTCAGACAAGGGGAAACCTGTAAAAGGTTTTTAATGGAAAACAAAACATTCTTAGTGGACCAAAAAGGTAGGGAACATCCACAAATGTCAAAGTTATGACACAATACTATAAAGACACTGTGTTAGGAGCAAAAAAATGTTAAAGTTTTAAGTTCAATTTAAAGCCTTTTATAGAGAGTGAGAAATAACAGCAAATTAAACTACAAAAACCCTTTATCAAAAAATTGTCTTTCTGTAAACATGGCCTGGGGTGACACATGCCTGTAATTCCAGCACTTGGGAGGCTGAGGTAGAAGGATCACTATGAGTTCAAGGTCAAACTGAATTACAGAGCAAGACTCTATGTCTCAAAAAAACAAAAAATAAGAAAGTAAAAACAAAAAACATTAATTACTACATTTTTTTAATTGAGCTTTTTGCCAATTTCACACAAGCATAGTCCTTACCTTTGCAAATTCTGGAGGTGGACTTTTCCCTCTACAGAGATTAGACAAAGCCCATACTGCATTCCGGGTCATGGTCAGGCGGTTTTGCTTTGAAAATAACCTGCAAGCATGATGGTGCAATGGTAAATTTTATAGTATTAATTCTTTGATCACATAAAATAAGCATTGCCTTTTATCCAGAACAGTAAAACTTCATGAATTTTAATGCACCTAATGCAGAATTTTAGCACAGGAGTAATACAGGTCACACAAGTGATTTGAACAAATTAACAAGAAAATATATGTAATGAACACCTAGGAAATCCAAAATGATTTCCAAAGATATAATGCTTCCTGAGGAACTTCCCAAGATTTTGTTAATGAAAAACAAAAACAAAAAAACCCATAAAGAAAAGAAGGAAACTTACTGCAAAAGAGGAGGAAGGATATTGCAGTCTAAGACATAGTCCCGGCACATAGTACTATCTCCAGCGATGTTGCCCAGAGCCCAGACTGCCTGTGAAGAAATTATTCATTAACGATGGTTGTGTAGTTTTAAGTTCCTCATAATTCTTTAAAAAAAAAAAAAAAAAGATGCCAGCACATCATAGTAACACTTTAATAAATTACATAGTAGTCAATATATTATACATGTACTATTAACATTAAATTCATTCATCAGAAAGTCAAATGAAATCGTTGTAGGACTGGAGAAACATGATAAATACCACTCTTTTTTATGTACTTAGTAGAGGGTTTACAGGGTCTCACTACACAGATTGGACTCGTACTGATTCTCCTGTTTTCAGTCTCTATAAATACCACTCGTTTTTTGTTTTTGTTTTTGTTTTTTTGCGGAACCAGGGATTGAACTCAGGCCCTTGCGCTTGCCAGGAAAGCGCTTATTCCACTGAGCCATCTCCCTAGCCTCATACAGCAGTTGTTTAGGCAGACACAGGGACCAGGGTTTGATCCATGGCACGCTGAGATAGTGAATGAGACTGGGCATGGTGGCATATGAACTTAGGAAGCTGAAAACAAGAGGACCACTACAAGTCTGATATGTGTAATGAGATCCTGTACACCTTGTACTAAATATATAAAATAATAAAATAGCAACCAGTATAAAGAGAATGAGAAGTGCTATTAAAATACAGTTAACTTTATCAAACTTGTTATGAATGTGTGTTTCATGTTATACAGACATTCATACTGTACATTTTACAGTAATTTTTACATAAATACATGTATGCTGACGTATGCCAGTTAAAGCTCAATAAAACTAAAATAAGGGAGCTAGGGAGATGGCTCAGCATAATAAGTGCTTCCCTGGCAAGTGCAAGGGTCTGAGTTCAATCCCCGGTCCCAAAAAAAAAAAAAAAAAAAAAAAAAAAAAAACACTAAAAAATAAAATCACACTCATTTAGTAGTGACCTATCTTCACACATTTGATAAGTTAGCTGTAATAAAACATTCATGCTGTGTCTTTTTCTAAACAAAAAAGGCGAAGATCTTCTACTTCAATACTAACACTAAAGACTCCTAAATAAAAAGCTTTCACATCAGTCACTGTTTACATAGACTAAAAAAATCTATCTACAGAGCTTAATGAATTCCAGGTTAGAAGCTGGGTATGGTGACACAGGCCTGTAATACCAGCCGTACTGAGTCCAAGGCAGGAGGATCATTAAGAGTTCAAAGCTAACCTGAGCTACACAGTGAGTTCAAGGGTAGCCTGAACTACAAGGCAAGACCTTGACTCAAGAAATCCAGGTTGGAGGGAAAACAGTGTTATGGGTCTACAGTACATTGTGCCCCTTGTCATCAAAAGTTTCTATTTTGGTTAAATTTAGAATTTTAGAAAACTCCCCACAACAAACAATGTATTGTCATGATCAAGTAGTCAAACTGAGATCTTGAATATGTCTAAAGGGAAAATTTTATTCATCTGCTTCTGTTTCTCTATTGCACTTTTTACCTGTTCCTGTACATCTTCAAACTCTGAGCTGAGCAACTCTATGAAGATGGGCACTGCTCCTGCCTGAATCACAATCCGCGTCTGAAGAGAATTTCCTGAAGCAATATTTGTCAGTACCCATGCTGATTCAAACTATAAAGATAAAAATAAATTTTATTATCTTTTTAGAATTTAAAAACTTATTTACTTAAAACAATAAATGTATCTGTACATGAAGAAAGTGTCTGAGATCCGTTTTTCCATATCATCTATCAGGTGAACACTATTTAACTATTTTAAACACTCCCAGATGAAATAGTTCAGCCTAGAGGAATTCTCCAGTTGTCTAAAATTTCAGAGCAAGATGGAGTTAGTGTAAGACCATAACCCCAAAATGAGTATTTCATATGCTGATATGGAATGATCTCCTACAGTTTAAATGACAAAAAGCCCACCCAAAATGCAAATCAATAGATTAATATGGTATTGTTTTAAGGATTAAAAGGAAATATATTCATTAATATACTCATTGCATAGATCATCTCAGGAGTGAGTCACAAGAAACTCTAAATGCTTGTTGCCCACATAGAAAAGGACTGAATAACCACAGAACAAGGGCAGAAAAAGCAATTTCACTGGAAAGCCCTACGTTCTTTTGGCACTGTACTATGTATCTTAGCTAATAAAAATTTCTAGAGGATAAACAAAATAAAATGGAAAGAATATCAGTGTTAAATGTATAAAATATAGTCAGTGAAAAATGTGGAATGTCTCAAAACAGGTCAAATTTAATCCAAATATTAAGTAGGTAAAACAAGTTAACAGGCATACAACTAACAGATAAAACTATTTCAAAGCACGATTTTCCAATAAATAATAAGGTCAAAATTGAGGTACAGAGTTTTTTGTTTTAACCAGGGATCAAACTTGGGACCCTGTGCTTGCCAAGCAGGCGCTTATACAGCTGAGCTATATCCCTGGCCCTACAGAGATGTTTTAAAAAAGATCATTCTGAACAGGGAGAGGGGGAAAAAAGTGAAGCGAGTAAAGGCTAATCTGTTACTAGAGCCACAAGAAACAAAATATAAAAGATAATTTAGCCAACAAAAGCCAATGTGTATCATTAATTCAATTCTACTTAGCTAAGAATTAATTTAAATTTTAGATTGGTATCTTCCCCTATTCTATGTATCCTTTACTGAAGCATAAATGCAGAGGAAAAAGTCAACAGTATGTTCTTTGAATAAGACAACAACAAGGCCTCAAAAGATACACCTGCACCTTTTTCTAAGCTTCTGCATAAAAGGCAACTTATAAAGAAAACCATCAATCACTGAGGGTGAAGGAAGATGGGGTGAAGAGGGTGGACAATCTCATCAGCACAGTCCAAAGCTGATCATGAATGACAGCAACTTCATAGAAGACACTTAAAGAGGGGAAATGTTCGAAGAAACCTATAAAAGTAACAACAGCAAATGCAATAAAGTAGTTTGGCAACCCGTGTAGGCCCTGAAAGTATACCAGCTATGAGGTCCACACTAAGAACACCACTTTTAAAGAGGACAAATTATTGTATCTGATAACATTTCATTGTAATAGAAGTTTATGAAACTTAGGGTTTAAGCCCTGAATACCATTAAAAAACACTTTCCATGCATTTATTTCTATAATTAATGAAAGCAATGCTTGAACCCTTTCAGTTTGTCAGAATTAGGACATTTACATTTGCACAGTGCTTTATCTTTTCAAAGGATTATTCACATATTCTGAGGTGGTCTTCAGAACAATCCAGGGAAATACAATGCCTAGCTTTTCTAGCTATGAATGAAAGATTCAACAATTTAATTGATGGTTTGAGTAATGTTAAGCAGCCAGTCAGAGGACTAAATCACAAACTCCTAATGTAGTATGCTATGAAGCATAGGCATAATTTCTTCTCTAAGATTTACATACTAGCATGAGAATACTTCATTTGTTTTAGTTGTGGAATCAGGGGCAAAATATTTCAAGGAGTGGCCTGCCAGATTATTTATGCTAAATAAACAAACAAACAAACAAGAGTTCATCAAAATGGTTCCTGTGCCTACTAGAATTAGTTAAATCAAAGCTGCATTATGCGAGTATAAAACCAGAAGGCAGGCACAAAGCTCAATGAAGTTATTACATGCTGCAAAAACCAAGTAAAAGAAATGAAAACTGTAAGAAAACTTGATCTTCAAATAATAATGTAAAAGGTATATACATGTCAAAGAAAGAAAAGATTTCAGTGGCATTTTTTTTCCAGTGGCATTTTGATGAAGAAGAAATGATAACCTGGAAAAATAAAAAGATGTATTAAGGTTATTAGTGAGAAAAAAAAAAAAATGACTTAGAATACTAACTGGTACCAGAGTTCAAAGTAAGTTTAGGACCATTTCTAGAGAAAACATAAAGGATTCCAGAAGCTATTCAAGTGAACAAAATGATGAAATAAAATAAAATAGATAATTAAGAAAAATAAATGAATAAAAAATATGGATGTTAAAATTAGAAATCCAGCACTCCTTAATAAAAACACTGTATCAGAGTTATGTTCATTATTAAGAAGTATACAATGATGATGACCTCCAAATGCAAAGACTCAAGAACAGAAATCAAAAATTAGTTTTGTTGTTATAAGGAACAGGAGGAGTAACTATAACCAGAGGGCCACTCACATATTCATAACCATATTCACAGACATTAATAAGGCAGAAAAAGTATGCACAATGCCAACCACTCTGAGGTTTCTCACCATATAAAAACTCACCAAGCTTCATTTGTAAAATTTTCTATACCTACTTGTGTATTAGAGACACTGCTATTAATGTTTGAAGAATCAACTCTTAAATGTGTTTAACATGGAAGAACATTCTTTAAATACTTTGAACTACACAACTTTCCTTTGACCATGCTCTATACATATTTCACTGAGATTTGCATTAAAAAAAAAAAAATTCTGGCCCTGGTACTATATGAAACTTTAACCCAGAAGAAAACTGAAATAGGAATGCCCAGAACTGATGACAAACACAACACATAAAGTTATAATAGACACAGCCAAAAAATAATTATACAACTCAAGAGAAAATCAGTAACCTAAAAAGATTAAAAAAAAAAAATCTAAGAAATGGTATTACTTGAAGAAATGGTGGCCAAAATAACTATAGTCATCACTTCCCCTTTTTTAAACTAGTATTCTTACTATTCCAAGAATGGCAGGTACCACACAAGAAAACAACCTATCATGCAACTAACTGCTTATAAACTATCACTCCACTATTAGTTTTCACTGTGGAGAACTTGCTAAGTAGGGCTATAACTGAAATCTGCACACTGAAGATTTGATGTTTTCTGTCTCCCCTTTCTCAGTCTCTACCTTCTGGTGCTCAGCTTCTTAAATAAGGAAAATGAGAATCCAAAGCTGAAGTACTTCTGACCTCCTATCAAGTTTCCCACTCCAGATTGAGGTACGCCTGGTTCCCTTTCTCCATTTGGATCAGGACTCTGTTGCTGGCCACTTTGCCGGTTCCAGTCTGGTTCCTAGCAAATGCCAGGCTCACCTGGAGAGCAAGTGAAAAGAAAGGATCACATCAGAAAAATAAACCCAGATATCAAACTCTGCAGAGAATAGTGCCTGTGTCATCTGAGCAACCTTCCAGGAAAGCACAGAGATCAATGAAAATGGGAAAAGGCATAGGAGGGTGAAGGCTTACTGCAGTTTATCACACTTAGCTTTTAGAAGGGACAAGAAAGGCAGGAAAGGGGACATTTAACCAAGTTAAACTTACGCCTTTTAATGGAGTACCTGTCTATTTCTAGACATATTTATACGGTTCTATAAGGTTTGATAATGCAACATCTTAGCACTGCAAAAGACAGTACAAAGATGCTGAGCCTGAACTCAAAAGAATGAGTCCACAACATACCGCAAGGAGGATCAATCTCACACCAAAGGCTCAATGCCTGAGACATACATGTCACTGAGCTCAAGAAATGCTCTTAACTAAAATCCTACATCCTGCCTATATTCCCCCAAAGACTGACAAGTGAGTACTGGGGTAGGAAACAGTGATTTTTAGCACCCTTGTTTGAAGTGCCTCATTCATCTGAGAAACCAGAACTGGAATGAAGAGACCCTTCACCAGGAGTCTCAATTCCTTAGCTATGAAACAATGAAATCTATGGAACTCAATTTGTGAGTTAAGACATCAAATTTCCTCTTGGTATAATACAGTGTTGGCTCTCTTTCTGCAAGAGAAATGGCCAAAGCCTTACACCAAAGACGCATGATTTGTATTCCTTGTAAGTAGCCAGGAGTACCGGGGCTACTAGCTTATGTCCTATCTTCTCCAAGAAGCTAGAAAGGAATACCCTCCAAGCTTTTTGGAGTATGTCTAATTATTGAAGGAAAAGCATGAAGTCTCTTGGCCTTAAGGTCTTGGAATTTTCTTGTTCCACCAGCTTATACAGTGGCCAAAGTAATCATTATTCACAATGGAAAAAGAGTATCATCCTGTACTTAAATGTGCCCAGAAGAAAGGGTAGAGATGACAACCCTTGAATAATTAAGCTGAAATCATGAAAATCATGGGGTGGTCAATTCCAGAAGCTTAATTTTTAAAAAATCACTCTGCCTAATTATTAATTTGTATGAGGATGGAATCTAGAAATACAGACAGAAGAAAATTAGGTATTTCTGAAGGCTTTTATCTTCAGCTATGTTAAGATATGTTCCAGGAAGTAGAGTTTCAAGGGTAAGCCAGGTCCAGAGGACACTGTTAGAGAACATACTATACTCCCAATCATGTACATCAGAATGTGTGTGTTGGGGGGGGGGTCATTTTACTTCCTTCATTTCATGTCTGAAAATTTACACATTCCTTTCCTATGTATAAAAACAAGACTTTTGCAATCACCTATGAAAAAGCACTACACTCAGGAATAAAACCAGTCTCAACTATACTCAATTCCAGAGATAAGACAGAAACATTTTTTCCACCATGAACAAAATAATTTTCCCTACCTCCCTCTTCCTACAAAGCAATTCAAATGATAAACTGCAGTAAGTTCCTCATTTGCTCCCTCTGGTTCTCTTGGCAGGCTCTTTAGCTCAGGCTCTGTTCTCTGCAGTGTTGATTATCTGGATTTCCTTTTTTCTGAGCAAAGTCTCTCTTCCCTTGCTCTCAGGATGAATGTGGTTGTTTTCAGGTGTCTGGTGATTCTGGCCGTAGATGGGGCCAGAATTACAATCCAGGAGGCAGCTAGCAAAACAGAGTCTTAATTCAAATAAAGACAGGGACTGGTTAGTTCTCAAACTGGAGAAGGAAAACTGACAGGACACAAAAGTACTCTACCTTTTCTGGATTTCTTGTCTTTCCTCTGGAAGGAACTCACCACCGCAATAAAGATTAAAGAAACAAAGATACAGTAGGACAAAATGAGAGAAAATATCAAGACAAAGCATTAAGACTTCTGAATAATCTACAATGGTCTGGCCAATAAAGAGCACAGGTGAGGGTGGGGGTGTGCACAACAATTATAAAAAAATTCTCTGCTCTCTACATAGCACCAGCAGAAGCACATAAATGGGAGAGGGAATCCATTACTAACTTTTTACTGGCCAATATTTACTTGAAAAAATAATCTCACTTCGTGTTCTACTTAGTACCTAGCTAAATTTTACAGCTGCATTCCCCAAAGTGTCTAACCACTTCAAAACAGACACCACAGAAAGAACTATAAAAGATCACAGGTATTTGTTGATAATACAAATACCATACTGATTCAACTAGCTACACCAAAGAAGACTAGATGGTGAACATGTACCAGCTTACTAAAAATCCAACTTTACTAAAGTTAAGAAAAAATAAACTATACAAGGATGACAGTTGTTAACTGATTCCTTTTACTGTGAAAATTATCCAATCCAAATGTTAAGAGAATTTCCTCTTGGATTCCTTCTAGAGTTCAGTATTTAAAGATTAAACTGATATAAGCAGAGATATATAGATTCTCAACAAAGCTACCTCTCCTTGTCAGTGCTTCTAGACTAGAAGGAAGACAAGTGAGGACCAGGGCGATGAAGGAGCTTCTGATCCAGCCACAGTACACCATCCCAAGAGAGCCAACAATATCCACAGAACCTCCAAAGCCTGCAAATCCTCCAAAGCCAAATTTTACACAGCTCCCCCTAAGTTCCTATTTATAATGGCTCCTAAAGTCCAGTTTTTCCCTATTACCTAAGGATCATCTACAATAATAAAATGATGAAAGACACAGATTCAACAAGAGTATAATCAGACTTTGCATGTCAACGAAGCTATAAAAAATTCCAATTCATTTATGAGGAGTACCATCAACAAAATCCTTTATATAGGTAAGACAAGTAAAAAATTCATATACAGAAAAGGCTTTTTAATCAGTGCATACTTGCACTAATACATACATAATGAATACAATCACCTTGGGGAGGTGGTATATACACATGTCACATTTTAGTTTTTTGTATTTCCCCTTCCCAGCCTCTCCCTCCAAAATGTAGGTTTCACAGAAAACTAAGTTATGAGGCAAAAAATGAAAATGTTCCGTACCTGCAGTGTACAGTTTTCTTTTCTCTTGAGGAATTCCACAAACCTGGCCACTACTCCTGGGGTGCTGATAACTTCATCAATAGGAGGGTTAGGTTCTGTTTCCAAATAAAATAGATAGAAAAGAAGAAAAGCAATCCTTTGATTTCAATACAAGGACTTTATAACTCAAAATTACTTAAAAATACCATTCAAATGCTGGATATGGTGACACTTGGGAGGCTGAGAAAAAGAGTATCACTGAGTTCAAGGCTAGAATGAAGTATACAGGACCACCATGTCTCAAAAACAAACAAAACAAACCCAAAGGAAACCACACTCTATTTAACAGCTCTTTCATTTAAAAACTCTAGTTAAAAAATAAAAAGGCTGAGTTTGGTCATTTTGAGAGTAGGATAGTTCAAAAGGTTTCACACAAAGGACACAGGTATTAATATAAAAATGACAGATGGACAGAATTGCTCATTTGCTGTGTTTTCATAATGCTAAGGAAACTTACTTTTTTTTAGCCTCAGAGATGAACCCAGGGCTTGTACATGCTGACAAATGCTTTAACTGAGCTATACTCCTAGTTTCTAAGAATTCTTAAAAATTAAAATTACTGGGGGCAGGGAGATAGCTCAGCGGAATAAGCACTTGCCTGACAAGTGCAAGGACCTGAGTTCAATCCCTGGTTCCGCCAAAAGAAAAAAAATATATTAAAATTCCTATAGCTACTATTTAAGGAAATTTAAAAAGAGAATAGATATCCAAAGACAGTTAATCACATTATGCTTTCTTCTGGCTTTTCTATACATATCGTTTAGTCTATTTTTGTTTATCATATGTTGGCCTTAAAAAAAAAAAAAAAAGGCATCACAGAATTCTCTGTGCTAACTAGATCTTGATTTAATACGCAGCAAGAATAACATTTCATTCTTGACAACATAGTACTTTATAAAAGAAGTCATTAAAAAGAAAACTGTAGGGGCTGGGGAGACAGCTCAGCAGAATAAGCACTTCTCTGGCAAACACAAGGGCCTAAGTTCAATCCTCGGTTCCACAAAACAAAACAAAACAAAAAACCCAGAAAACTGTATTTCATGGATAGGCAATGTCAGATAATCAGACTAATAATTTCAGCAAGAGAACAGATTTTAATAACATTCACATAGCAATACTAGAAAAACACAGTGAAATCACAGTAACAAAGATTCTTAGCAACATCAATGGCCTCACTGAAAGAAGGCACTAATGACTCAATACTGACTTGAGACAGAGAGGGCTCTGAGGACTTGTCCTTCATCTGGTTCAACATTTTTCTCTCATTTAAATAAATGGCATACATAAATTGGATGATAATAAATATAAGTTGGTATAATATACAGAACTACAGAAATTTTTTTAAAAAGTCTGGCAACAAAACAAAAAAAGCGGGCAGCAATGTGTAATACAAAACCCATGGCTGAATACCTCTCATCTTGGTCTTCTAAATGTGTACCATTTCTAATGTCGTATCAATTATTATACTCTCTTTAAAATAAATTTTAAAAAAGAAAAGCAAGATTTCTTGAAAGCAAGTGTTAATATTCAAATTTGTCCAGTCTTGCATAACTATATCTGTTAATCTGATTTTAACAGATTTGATGATAAAAATAGATAATATAACAATCATTGTTAACTATTCCTGTTTTAAAAATCTGAAATGTGTATTGTTGTGTTATCCTGTTTCCACCATTTTTTCTATTTGGTTTTGCTTCTGTTTTTCTTCTTCAAAATAAAATAAAATTAGCTTTAAAAAAAAAAAAGCAAAACCCACAAAACATTTTTCTGTTCTGGGGGGGTGGTGATATGTCACTATGTTGCCGAGCATGGCACTGAACACTTGGCTCATGTGATCCTCTTACCTCAGCTTCACAAGACTACTTGGGAGTATAGACCTGCTTCAAAACTGATTCTAAAAAGTAATTTCAAAAGCCCATATCACTTCTCAATGATCACACTACATTTCATGAAGAAAAATGCTAAGAATTTGGTTTGCTGAAAATATGATGAAATGTTACTATGTTGTGACTACCAAAACAAAGACAAATTATTAGAATAGACAATCTTAGGACAAAAAGGCAAACTCTGACCATGCTCATCAGTAATAACACATCTGGAGCCGGAGAGAGAGCTCAGTGGCGAAAGTGCCTGCCTGGAAAAGGGCAAGGTCCTGAATTTGATCCCCAGCACAAGAAAGAAAGAAAGAAAGAAAGA